ATATTCTGATTGTTGTTATTAATTATGATTCTAAGAGTTCTTAAGCGAATAGTAGGCTCAGAGTTTTTGTTTTTGGCCGCCAGGCGAAGCCCAAGGCCAAGGCAAAAGCCAAGGCCAAGGCGAAGGCCAAGGCCAAGGTGCGGGTAACCTGGGATCTGCATCGTGAACCTGTTTAGGGTTTAGGGTTTAGGGTTTAGGGTTTAGGGTTTATGCCTGATAGGTTCGCCCAGTAAGAAGCATCCCTGTTTCGTCCAAGGCCTGCTCCAGAACTACAAGGAGCACAGCCTCCCAAAAGGCCTAAAACCAGACAGGTAAATCGCTACTTCAGGGGTCGCAATAATTTCGAATCGTATTCCTTATGGTTTCGATACTCTAAACCCTAAAACCCTATAAACCCTATAAACCCTAAACCCAAACTCCGATTTAAAACGATCGAGGCCCCTATACTACCTTAGAACGCCTCGTCAAGGCTGCGGCGAACCCGAAGGCCAAGGCCAAAGCCAGGGCAAAGGCCAAGGCCAAGGCCAAAGCCAAGGCCGGACAACCCAGGGAAAGCCATACGCAGCCTAAACCCCAAAACTCTCAATCACCCTAAACCCTAAACCCTAAACCCTAAACCCTAAACCCTAAACCCTAAACCCTAAACCCTAAACCCTAAGTCAGCGGCTAAAATCTCTGGCTGCAAGTTCCTGACCTCCCTGTCCTGTCAGGCAAAGGCCGAAGCCAGGGCCTGAGATTCGCAATGGACCACGACACGATTCCGCCCGTTAGGGTTTAGGGTTTAGGGTTTAGGGTTTAGGGTTTAGGGTTTAGTGTTTAGCGTTTAGGGTTTAGGGTTTAGGGTTTAGGGTTTAGGGTTTGGGGTTTAGGGTTTAGGGTTTAGGGTTTAGTGTTTAGTCGGGTGCTCCAGGACGCTGAGGGGTTGAAGGTTTCGGGCGGATTGAAGCCGGGTTTAGGGTTTCTTTCTGTATGTTTACGGCTTGGTGTTTAGGTTTAGGGTTTAGGGCTGTAGAAATATCCCGAAAGCCTAAACCCCAAACCATGTATACATAATATTATGTGTATATATATATACATACATACCAAGGGGCGCATGCTGAATACCTTTTTTAGGGGGTAGGGTTAATGTAGTCTTGGAACGTCAAGTTTCTGCGCAGGGCAAAGGACAAGTCGTGCTCATGAAAGCCACGCCGAAGGTCTGCGACCAAGCGACAGGTGCTGAGGTTTAGGTTTAGGGTTCAGGGTAGAGGGGCTAGGAGGGACACAGAGCCACATCAGCCGAAAGCCGAGGCACGAGCAGCTCCAACAGAAGCGCTCTTGCTTGAGTTTGGTTTTATGTCCATCGCTGAGCGCCGTTGGAATAGCAGGTATCGAAAGCTTTTGAGTTCTTTCCAAAGTGGGGGTACCCTTTTGGGGGGGTTACTATATGGAAATTAAACATCTTGGTGGGGCACATTCAGGGGACCCCTTCTCTGCAAAAATACAAGTCTCGTGTCCGTGTCCGCAGAGGATGCTGACAGAGGAGGGGTATATTATGTGTGCGGTGTCCATCCAAAACCTTCACTTTAAACCCGAAACCCTATTTGCGTTTGGGTTGGGGGTTTAGGGTGCCTATCCGAATTCCGAATTGTCTGCAAAGATCCGCCTGGGCCTTGTATGCTTGGAGCGGAAGGAGGAACCCAACCCCCCCTTCCCAAAGAACAAAGTGCACTAATCATGTGTTTCAATGGTAGCATTTAACACACCCATTAAACATACTCACATTAATTTGTTGTGCTTACATTTTCGTTCGCTGCTTCAAAACAACCAAGGATGATAGTAACAGTCAAACGCAACTGATGTCTCATTATCTTCCATTACGTAAAGTAGCCCACCAAAACACCAGCATACCGAAATGGTCAAGAAGCAGATCTGTGCTAATAGTCATGAATTACCGAATCATAATATAATAATAGCAATACGAGTAGCAATCATCATCATCATCATCATCATTATCATTATCATTATCATGATATGCCAGAAGCCTGAGCCCGAAACCCCCAAGTTGATCTGGTCTTCAAGGTCAAAGCGGCAAAGTCGAAGGCCTTGATGGACGCTGATAGCCGCCGTCCCGGTTGAAGGGCTTAGGGTTTAGGGGGCGGTTTAGGGTTTAAGGTTTGCAACCCGCCCGGATGCAAAAGGGTTTAGGGTTTGGGTTTTTGGGGTTTCGGGTTTACAGGGGTTTCGGACTGCATGGGTGTAAAGTTCCAGCGGGGATCCCATTCTTAAAGCGTTGAAACATGCCCCCTTCCCCCCCCCCCCCCCCGCACACTTTCAGTGACCTATCTCTTGTGGTCCTTATAGGGGTTCCGGTGACCTAATTGCTAGGTCCCTGCATGGGGTGAAGACTTGACCCCATGGGCCCAGCAGCAGTCGCTCTGCCACGTGCAAAGGTCGAAGCACCCAACTCCACACCCTAAACTCGACCCCTAAACCCGACTCTCTGCCTCCGAACCCTAAACCCTAAACCCTAAACCCTGAACCCTGAAGCCTGAACCCTAAACCCTAAACGCGCTGAGCACTGCTTGCAGAGAGCGCGTGCCAAAACCCTAAACCCTAAACCCTGAACCCTGAACCCTAAACCCCCTAAACCCTAAACCCTAAACCCTAAACCCTAGCACTAGCCTCGCCTGGCTTGTCCGAGTGTGAGCGATTAAACCCTAAACCCTAAACCCTAAACCCTAAGAGGCCAGAGTGGTGTCTTGGTCAAGAGCGAGCAGATCGAGGAGCCGCATCCTCGGCATCGTGCGCAGGAGCTTGCTCTGTCAGATGTCCCTCAAAACTTTGTTGGGTTTATGGTTTAGGGTTGAATATGTTGTGTGTACATATATATATTTATCCTTAGTAGCTGAGTGAGTACACTTTACACTTTTTGGGAGGGGGCTTATGAACTCAGCAACAAAGTATATGTTGATATGCATGTGCATGCGAACGTTCTTTGCAGCTCTGCATGCTAAGGATGTTTTTGCAACCCCAAGCCCTCAACCTTAAAGCCCTTAGCCCTCCCTAACCCTAAACCCTAAACCCTAAACCCTAAACCCTAAACCCTAAACCCTAAACCGTATCCCTAAACCCTAAACCCTAAACCCTAACCCCTAAAACCTAAACCCTAAACCCTAAACCCTAAACCCTAAACCCTAAACCCTAAACCCTAAACCCTAAACCCTAAACCCTAAACCCTACACCCTACACCCTAAACCCTAAACCCTAAACCCTAAACCCTAATCTAAGCCCGTCCCCAGGCCCGAGGATGGCCACAAGTTGCCCGGGCGCAGCATTGGCGAGCTCGACGCCTGGGACTGCTTCGGCTGGTGGTGGTGGGGGTAGAGTTGAGGTTTGAGTTTAGGGTTTAGGGTTTAGGGTTTAGGGTTTAGGGGTGTTGCTGTTCGGGTTTCGAGGGTGTCTAGGGTTTGTAGGGTGTTTTGGGCTCCGGCTACAGGCACGAACCCCCTAACGCTTTACTCGTTACGGTTTTTGTCGCGCGCTTCATCTTGTAGTTCTGACGTTGGTTGTTCTCTTGAGCCCTTCAGATCTTGTCACTAGAGCCCAAGGGCACCGCTTTCTGAGTTTCGGGGCTTTGAGGTTTAATGGGGTTCAGGAAGTCTCGGGCTAAGAGCGGCTGCATTGATTGGAACACGCTGGATGCGCGAGGTGCGGAAAGACCAAATTTTGGCAGGGGATGCAAGGTTTGGGGTAGCCGGGTAGCCGCCCTGTGCAAAGATCATCTGTGGGTTGGTGCTCCAAGGCACCGTCTGGGCATCAAGGGGTGGGTGAGTGGGGGGAAGGAAAAGCTCCAAACACCCTAAACCCCCAAACCCCAAAACCCTCAGCCCGAAACCCCAAACCCCAAAACCCCAAATCCTTAAACCTCCAAACCCTAAACTTGTTCAACCCCAACCCCCAAACCTCCAAACCCAAAACCCCAAACCCTAAAACCCTGAGACCCACCCATTTAGGGTTTAGGGTTTAGGGTTTAGGGTTTAGGATTTAGGGTTTAGGGTTTAGGGTTATGGTTGCCCGAGGCCGAACTTGCCCCGCAAGCAGATGTGTGCCGGGACCTCGCAGAGCTCGCAGGGGTTCGGCCTTGTAGGGTTTAGGGTTTAGGGTTTAGGGTTTAGGGCTCAGGGCTTAGGGCTTCGGGTTTAGGGGGTTTAGGGTTTCGGGTTTAGGAACTTCTAGGGCTTCTAAAGTTTACCTAGAGTAACCTTGCGCCGTGAAAAGAAGGTGTATATGTTCCGAAATATGAAGGCACAGTACCTCCTCGAAAGGGTACAAAGGTTGCCCTAAGCCCTAAACACCGGAAACCCTAAGCCTTAACCACAAAGGTTGCCGTACAGGTAGGGTAAATGCCCTAAACCCTATAAACCCTAAACCCTAAACCCTAAATCAGGGTAGTCGGCAAGCCCAGGCCCCAAGCATGCGGTGTCCATTGCCCATTCTTTTATCGCAGCAAGTTTTCGAGATTGGACTCCAGTTTTGCTGTCCGGTTTTGTTTCTTGGGAGGTCGAGGCTTGTAGATTTTGGTGGTTAAGGGTTTAGGGTTTAGGGTTTAGGGTTTAGGGTTTAGGGTTTAGGGTTGGTTTAGGACATCACGCACACCTGGCTTTGATGTTCAGGGTCAGCTTTTGATTTTACGGCTTGATGTCGGAGCCCAGCGCAGCCAGCCCACCATCTTACTATGAGGATCCTAAGGCGGCCCCACAAAACTTCAGAGCCCGAGCATGACTTCCCCACATTTCGTTGCAGGTTAAAAGTCACCTTCCTGACTCTGAGATTCTTCCCCTGAACCCTAAACCCTAAACCCCAAACCCTCACTTTATTCCCGCGCTTTGCCTTCTTTCCCAGGTTGGCAGGTTCAGAAAAAGTGTCGGAGCACTCGCCGCAGTCGTTTTGCACACCTCTACCTTTGTGCCGCTCCGATCTCGGCCAGCGACATCTGCCAAGCAGACGCGGGCTGAGAGATGGAGCTTCTTAGTAGCTGAATGAGTACACTTTACACTTTTTGGAATATGATAAACCCTAAACCCTAAACCCTAAAATTCCAAACCCTAAACCCTAAATCCTGTAGAACTGAAAGTGTGCATCTTTTTTTTTTTTTTTTGGGGGGGGGGGGGGGGGGCTTATGAGCTCAGCAACTAAGGCTTGATATGGTGCCAGTGTCCCTGCCGAAGGCAGCGGTGCCCATTGTGCTGCCGGTGCCACCGGGCGGCGTGAAGGTCCTTCCTCGTTGGGCAGCGGAAGATGAGGTCTCGAAGTGGAGGTTGAGGCATCTTACTTTGCCAATAGTTGAGCTTTAAACTTTTTGGGTTTCCTTATTTAGTAGGAAGAATCAAGTTTAACCTTTCTTTCCCCTGGTTGTTGGAGAAGTAAGGTATAGGCCGCATGCCAAGGAGGACCCGACCAGCGAGTTTGATGAGGGTGCTGCATGGGTGGAGCTGGAGCTGCGCAACTTCACGCGTGAGTTGCCCCTTTCAAACCTCGATGCCGGCCTCTTGCATGACTTCAAAGTAGCAATTCAAACGCCCGAGGGCTGGTCAGATTGGAGCGTGGCAGCACAGTGCGAGGCTCCACCACCACATCCGCCTGGAAAGCTGGCCACCCTCCTACCGCGGGTGCTCGACGGGTCCTCGGTGAAGGTACGCTGGACACCACCCATTGATTCGACCAGCGTCGCACCAGGCTTGAAGGTCCAGCGGTACAAGATCCTGGTCACTTGGGCGCCACGCCCGGGCGAAGACGATGTGTCGTGCAGCCGGGAGATTGAGGTAGTTGACGAGACTGAGTCGCATGTCATCACTGACTTGGAAAGTCTTACAGACTACACTTTTCAGATCGCAGCAGAGAATGCAGCAGGCTGGGGTGAGCTGTCTGATCCCACCGTGCCGGTACAGACTATGCCGCCTGTGCCCACCACCCTCAATCAACCGACGCTGCGCAGAGCCACACATCACTCGGCAGTCATCCAGTGGCAACACCCTCCTTTCTCAGAAGCACCAGTGATGTCCTTCCGCTTTCGCCACACGTCGTCAGCCGACTGGAGTAGTGACGTGGTGGAGATCCACGACGTGTCGCCTGCTCTGTCACAATATGTGATTCAAGGGTTAAAGCCGGGACATGTGTATATCTTCCAAGTCAGGGCAGTGAACAAGTACGGCATGGGGATATGGAGCGACAGCAGCATCCCAATCCGCACAATGGATGGAGCAACTCCTTCTACCATCGAAGACTTGCAAGCATCCGAGATCTACAAGTCCTTCATCCGCTTGCAGTGGCGCCCAGTTGATGAAAATGGCTACCCGATCACAGGATATCGACTCCGCTACGCCCACACGGAGGACATGGCAGATCCCGTTGAAGCTGTTCCAGCGGTGGTCCGGGATAACGGCTTCGACACCTGCGATATCCGCCACCTGCGAAAGTTGAAGTACCACTTCCAGGTGGCTCTCGTATTTCCTTGTGAATATAAATGTTTCTTTTTGTTTCTATAAACCCTAGGGAATACTTAGTTACTAAGCATGATGTGTTTTCTGGTTCTAAGGAGTGCGTGTGTAATAAAAATTTCGTTTTGTTTGCATAAACTCTAGGGAAGACTAAAAAATAGATGGGTCTGAGGGGGTGTGTTGGGATGTTCCCCCCTTATAATGGATTAGAGTGCCCCCTATGATGGTCCCGATTGAGGGAGCTGTGATAAATAGCGGGAGCATTTCAAGGGTGTGTATAGGTGGCGGCTATCAACCACCTGGGCATGGCAGAGTGGAGTGAGTTAGCTGTCGTCGACATGTCTCGGGACTCCCCGGGCCCTGACTAGCGGGCACAAGAATGCCGTCTTGATTCCGTGTTTTTCTAAATCTTCTTACCAGGAGGGGCCATCCTGGTTCAAAGTAGAGTTATACGGACCCTGAATTGTGCTAAAAGGATCCTAACTTAGGCAATAAGTCCCTTAACTCGAGTTATTATACTTCTGGGGCCCCTCCTTGTAGGGGCTCACAGAGGGCCCGTGCGCCGGAGAGGAGGACTCGCAGTCTCACCAAAGTTGCGGGAGGTCAAGATGATTTCCCTGGCTGAAGGAGCTGTCAGCACACAGGATTCAAGGCAGAGAGGCCGAAAGAGCCCACATGGGCTCAGGGTTCAGGGTTCAGGGTTCAGGGTTTAGGGTTTAGGGTTTAGGGTTTAGGGTTTAGGGTTTAGGGTTTAGGGTTTCTCAACCCTGAAACCTAAACCCAAAACCCTAAACCCTCGGAATGGTTTCGGTGTGGCTCGGTTTGAACGCCTGCCGCCTACGTGAAGGCTGCCTTGACTATAGGCCCGAGTTCCTTTTCATGCGCCCGAAGTGGCACTGACTCCGAGAAAGTAGGGCTCAATAAGCGCTCAACGTCTAGCATGGCCCCTAGGGTAGGTAAACCCGGCTGTAGTTGATGTCAAGCCATGATCGATTTAGGGTACACATATCACATCTGGGTAGTCGAGCACATAGCAAGAAATGAATCCCTAACCCAAAGCCGCGAAGCAATGACCCTACGTCGCCTGAGGCCTCCAATGTGAGCTTCGGTCCGGCGAAAGGCTGGCGCGTCATTGCGTGGCTCCATTCTTAGGCCCTTCAGGTGTCGAGTCATGGTCAGCGAGCTCTTGTTAGCCTAAACCCTTAATCCCTAAGGCCTAAACCGCACAGCCCTGCCTTTCTATGCGTGACGTTCACTTCCGGAGACCGAAGCATACGGTGACTCGAGCAATGTAGAGCAATTAGCAGCTAGGTCTCTGGAAGTGGTGTAGGCTTTGGGTTGGAGGCTTTGGGGGGGGGGGGGGGGGGGGGGGGGGCGCAGACCGGGTTGTTTGACTTTGATATGGGTGTAGGGGTGTAGGGGCTTAGGGTTTGGGGTCTAGGCTTTAGCAAAAAATAGTTCCTAAACCCTACACTTAGAAGCTCTTGTGACCCCCACAACCCACCTTACTAACCCCACTTACCAAGTCAAAAGGGCTTCCAAGCACACCCGACTAGCGTTTGCCTTGAAGAGGCTTCTTTCTGTTGAGCGGAGGGGCGGCAATGCGAGCCTGCCAGTACCTTAAACCCCCCTTAAAAATTGTTTATGATTTCTTGTTATATAAAACCGAAGGCCATATTGAAAATGGGCTTTTCATGCAGGTTCTAAGGGGAGTATAGTAAGCCCGAGGCCCATGTTTAGCATCCCTAGTTGGGATGTTCCCCCTTATACCAGCAGTCCTTGATTGAGATTATAGCACCCCTATTGTAATGCCTGTTAAGGACTGTTAGTAGAAGGGGGAACATCCCAACCCTAAACCCTAAACCCTAAACCCTAAACCCTAAACCCTAAACCCTAAACCCTAAACCCTAGACCCTGAGGGAGAGACATGTATCCAGCATCCCAAGGTTGAAGACCGTGAACACCGTGAAGGAGAGGGCGCACGACTCGGCCTTGAGCTCGGGAACCGACTGCTTAGTTCCCCCCTCCCAAAAAAACCCGAGTCTTGCTCTTGTAGGATTTTGGGGTTTAGGGGGGGGGGGGGGTTAGGGTTTAGGGTTTAGGGTTTAGGGATGTCGTAGATGTGGAGGCAGCTGCCCGCATGTACTCTGACGTAACGCCACAACAGGCAGAATTTGGGATGGTGCCCCCTTATACTAACAGTCCTTAATAGGGATTCCAGCACCCTCCATTAGAATCTCTACTAAGGACCGTTAGCATCAAGGATGTCAGAAGAAGGGGGAACAACCCTAAACCCTAAACCCTAAACCCTAAACCCTATACCCTAAACCCTAAACCCTAAACCCTAAACCCTGAGGACCAGGGCCACGCCGCGAGACTGGTATGTGCAGCTCAGGTCATCTGCTGGAAGTTCTTATCCCCGCAGCGTCCCACTCCGAGCCTGGGGTTTAGAATTTAGGGTTTAGGGTTTAGGGTTTAGGGTTTAGGGTTTAGGGTTTAGGGTTTAGGGTTTAGGGTTTAGGGTTTAGGGTTTAGGGTTTAGGGTTTAGGGTTTAGGGTTTAGGGTTTAGGGTTTAGGGTTCGCAATTTGTGACAGCAAAAGAGGCGTGTCGCAGGGTTACAGAGACACAGAGACAGGAAGTCCAGAAGATCGGCATGTACTTTACCCTACACTTCCAAGGGGTCTAACAATTGTGTCCTTCAGGGTTCTACTACTACAGTAACTTAATTTAAACCCTCAAGAGCAGGATAAATAGAAATGGTTTGTGTGTCAATTTGAATTTACAACTTCGACTCCATCCACCCACACCCCCCCACCCACCCCCCCACCCCCCCACCCCCCCACCCCCCCACCCCCCACACCCCCACCCCACCCACCCCCCCACCCCCCCACCCCCCCACCCCCCCCCCCCCCACCCACCCCCCACCCCCCCACCCCCCCACCCCCCCACCCCCCCCCCCACCCCCCCCCCCCCGCAAGCCTGGAAAGCCATCGCATTTTTGTTCAAAAGCAAAAGAAAAATCTGGTCAAAACTCGGTCAAAACTCGGTCAAAACCGCTCAAAACCCGGTCAAAACCGGTCAAAACTCGGTCAAAACCCCGGACACAAACCCTGTACAATTTCTATAAACCCTAAACCCTAAACCCTAAACCTTGCACATCGTCCACGCTGAGGGACCCGCGCCTTCAACTCCTTTCAGTGCGACGCTAAGCTCGATCGTCTTCTTGCAAGCACTCGGTGCAGGGCTTAATATTTAGAGTATGTAGAGTTTAGGGTTTAGGGTGTAGAGTTTAGGGTTTAGGGTTTAGGGTTTTGGGCAGTCCCTCTGGCATGGGTGGTAGCACCAGCCTTTGTGCAAGCAGGGCCGATGAACTCGCCCCAAAAGACGAGCCTTCTGAAGGGTTGAGGGTTTAGGGTTTCGGGCTTAGGGTTTAGGGTTTGGGGTTTGGGGTTTAGGGCTTAGGGTTTAGGGTTTAGGGTTTAGGTTTTCGGGATTCGATTAGTATTTCTGTCACAACGGCAGGGCGATTCTATGCCCGACGATTTACCATTCTGATATGATCATGTTCGTACAGCATTAGACGGTTCTGTATCACACTCCGTCTGCAGTCTGAGCATCCCTCTACGCCGCAGAGAAGCCCCCTAAACCCTAAACCCTAAACCCTAAACCCTAAACCCTAAACCCTAAACCCTACACCCTAAACCCTAAACCCTAAACCCTAAACCCATTACAGCTGCTGGAGCCGCAGCCTTGCACGAGGTATCTGAAGAAGGGTGTTGGGGAAGGCGTGCGGGGACCTCAGCGCCTGCCGCAGGAACCTCGAAGTTGGGGTTCCCTAAACCCTAAACCCTAAACCCTAAACCCTAAACCCTAAACCCTAAACCCTAAACCCTAAACCCTAAACCCTAAACCCTAAACCCTAAACCCTAAGCCCTATCAGCAAGGGTTGGCAGGGTTTGCGATGTCGCTCTTTAGGTTGCAGGGCTCCTTGCTTGGTAAAACCCTAACTTAGAACTCCCCGCTGGCCCCGCCCCGCCCACCCCCGCCTCCCCCCACCCCCCACCCACCCCCCACCCCCCACCCCCTTCGCAACCCCCCCCACCCGCCCCACCCAGCCCGCCTTTCCGCCGCCCCCCCCCCCCCCCGAAACTTGGAGGTCTTGAGCCTTACAACTGCCAGAACCGAAGTTTTGGGTTTTGGGCTTAGAGCTTAGGTACACGCAGATCTTCACAGCTGTGCGACCAGGACTGTTGGGTCCAGACCTGAGGTTCGGGCTTTATAGGGTTGAGATATGCATATATGTCTATACCCTCAGCCCACCACTGGATTCTTTAACGTCCAAAAGCCCGCGTTTAGGGTTGCTTTAACGTTACAAAACCCTAAATGGGTTGAGATATGCAGGGGTCTTATAAACCCTCAGCCCACCACTGGAGCTATCTGAGGCCAGATCCGCGAGAAGCGGCAGAAGCTCGAGGGCAACATGGCGCCGCCACCCGCGCCGAAGAAGAGGCCGGGGGATTTGGAGTTTAGAGGGTTTAGGGTGTAGGGTTTAGGAAACCCTACGCCCTAAACACTAAACCCCTCCTGGCTTCACAGGTCTGTCGAACATCCTCGCTAGACCCTAAACCCTGAGCGCAAAAACCCTAAACCCAGCCAAAAGCCTAAGCCCTGAACCCATGGCCTTGAACATGTACATTCTGCGAGTTCAACAAGCCTTTGTAGTGATTCAACCAGGAACAACGAAACCCGAATCCTGAACCTAAACCCTAAACCCTAAACCCTAAACCCTAAACCCTAAACCCTAAACCCCAAACCCCAAACCCCAAACCCTAAACCCTACCGGACATCCATGTGAACCCAGCGGGGCGGCAGGGCACGCCCGGCCAACACGTGCCGCCTGCCCCCTCCGGAGCCACTCCCGGCGCTGGGGACCGAGTTAGCATTCGATGATTTACCTTGAGGGTTTAGGGTTTAGGGTTTAGGGTTTAGGGTTTAGGGTTTAGGGTTTCTTGGCTTCTGGCTGGCTCTTGGGACTTGAACCTTTTGGGTTGTTGAAGAAACTACAATGGGGAGCCTAAAAGTTAAACTCTTAGGAGGGGATCACAAATCTTCCGATAATTCAGGTACATACCCTTTTAAGGCTTTAAGAATTATAGGGTATATTTCCCAACAATTCAGGTACCCTACCCTTTTGTAAGGGCACAAAGGATACTCCAGGCAGGGCTTTAGGGTCGTTGAGTCGTTGCGGGTCTTGTAATGGGATTGAGAGGTTAGGGCTTGAGAACGGGTTCGACCGTTCAGCTCGAACCCAGTTTAGGGCCCGTTTCAACTCCATAAACCCTGAGCCATGTTCCGACGCGAGAACCCTCAACCCTAAACCCTAATCCCTAAACCCTACAGCCTAAACCCCAAACCCCAAACCCCAACCCCAAACCCCAAACCCCAAACCCTAAACCCCAAACCCTAAACCCTAAGTTAAGAATCCTCTCCTTGTAATCCATGCGCCGAGAGGCCTCGCAAGGCCGCCTCTGCAGCCTCCGCGACGCCGCGAAAGGCCCGAACTCGGGCACGCTTGGTGGCTTTTCTCGGGTTCTTAGGTGTTTAGGGTGTTTTTTGGTGTTTGTTGTTTGTGTTTTGTAGGGTTCGTTCAGGGTTTTTACGGTTTCTGGGGTCTTTAGAGTTTCCAGTGCTGCTATTACACGCCCTTCTCAGGACTAGGATCCGTGATAAATGGGGTACTTGGAGGTTCAGAGAAGCACAGAATCCCTCAATTACTTAACATTTGACTAAAGGGGCCTGAGAAGTACAGCGATAGTTGGGGTTGTCAAGTACCCATTAACCTCCAAGTAGCTCCCAAAGTGTTCGTCTCTGAGAAAAAAGGCAGCTCTGCTGTTTAGGGGCGAGGGCCCGCATCCCCTATCTCTTATCTGCTTCAGAACCCTCTCCCCAAAAAGTAGATGAATTTCCTCCTTACACGGGCAAAGGAGGCAGTAATTAGCATTTTGCATGTTTTCACCCTAAACCCTAAACCCTAAACCCTAAACCCTAAACCCTAAACCCTAAACCCTAAACCCTAAACCCTAAACCCTAAACCCTAAACCCTAAACCGTGCGTGGGGTGGGGTGTCTTCAGCAAATGTTACTTGTGGCCAGGTTTCTGGGCAATCTCGACTCTTCAGAGGGGCACTTGCCAAATAAGCGGGCCGCACCCGAAGTCCGGGAAAAGGACGCCGGCGAAAGGAAACATAAAGAAAGAGAGAGTCCTTTGAGTTTAGGGTTTAGGGTTTAGGGCTTAGGGTTTAGGGTTTAGGGTTTAGGGTTTAGGGTTTAGAGCGGGATAGCCTTCAGGAACCTAAAGCCATCAAGAGTCTGGCTTCACAAAAAAGCGGGCCTTTCTGTTCCAAGCACCACAGCCGCCTGTTTGGCGGGATCCTGGTCTCAGGCTCCGCAGTTTGCGGCCTCAAGGCAGTCGTGCCTGCTGCCCAGAATCCGGTGCAATCTGCATTCTGGAAGATGCCCCTAAACCCTAAACCCTAAACCCTAAACCCTAAACCCTAAACCCTAAACCCTAAACCCCAAGCCCTTGGGGGACCACTGGAACCCCAGAAAGGGTTTCTGGTCCATGGACCTAGGGATTATCGAGTAGAGGGTGTGTGATCCCAATTCTGGGGTTCATGATTTCCCCCAGGGATCAGGGTCCCCTTGCAGGTTTCCATGGGATGCCAGTGTCTGGTTGAGGGTTTAGAACCAATGTCGGGACCCTGAATTGAAAAGGGCGCTGATACAAAACATGATGGTAGGCTGGTGCCGGAAGTTGGAGAGTGCGTTTCGGGTTTTAGGTTGCGGGGGACAGAATGTTGAGCAAATGGCGGCTTGCACATCAGTGAGGAAGAACGCAGAGTAGACGTGGCTACCTCAGAATGGCGCGGGCATTATGCCAAGATCTAAACATTGTGAAGACCCTGGTCTGCGTTTATCTATTTCATAGGTGTCCTAAACCCCAACTATAAGATCCATGTAGACCCTACAAGCCCTCAACCTTCGTCATAGTTGGGCAACATTTTACTTGTTTAAGGGTACTTAAACCCAATAAGGAATAGAAGTCTAAATTTTAATACTATCCCAACCATGAACTAAATTACAGTTTTCGGTGTAGGCTTCCGCGCCCGAGAAGCCATCTGCCTCAGAACTTGCGAGCGCCGAGGCATGGCCGCGACGCAGTTCTTCGATCCAGCCGACAATGCCACTTGCATCAGAAAGAATAGGGTTTAGGGTTTAGGGTTTAGGGTTGAGGGTTTAGGGTTTAGGACTTAGTAGCTGAATGAGTACACTTTACACTTTTAGGGATACGAGAATCCCCGAAAGAACTGAGAGTGTACACTTCTCGGGGCTTATGAACTCAGCAACTAAGTAACTAAGACATGCACAGAAACCCTCAACCCTAAACCCTAAACCTTTTTTTTGAGGGCACCAAAGGGTTTCTCTAGTACATCAATGGTCCAGAGGAGCTTCCTGCAGTGCATTCAGGGACCCAGGGCACCTTTAGTAGGGCTTAGGGTTTAGGGTTTAGGGTTTAGGGTTTAGGGTTTAGGGTTTAGGGTTTATAAAGGGTTTAGGGTTCAGGGTGTCGACAACCGATCTCGGCACAGGGAAGCATAGCCGGAGGACCTCATGAAGTGCTTGCCATCCCGAAATCCGTGCACGTATAGCCCGGTGACCCTAAAACTCCTGGGTTAAGGGTTTAGGTTTTAGGGTTTAGGGTTTCGGGTTTGGGGTTTAGGGTTTATAGGGTTAGGGTTTCGGGTTGAGGGTAAACCGGGATCATGACACCCTAAGTCTTGAAGAACCTTCAGGCAAGCCCTGGGCGTAGGGTTGAGAATGCAAAGGCCGCTTTCACTCATCGGGTTTAGGGTTTAGGTTTAGCCAAGCTCGTTGCAAAAGGTTGAAGGGTTTAGGGTTTGGGGTTTGGGGTTTGGGGTCTAGGGTTTAGGGTTTAGTACCCAGTGATCAGCTTTCTCCTTCGAACTCAGGCGCACGCGGAGGAAGGCGGGTACAGGGCTCCTGAGACTAATCCACTACAAGGAGGCGACCCCCCACTACACTAACTATAGTTAAGGGATTTAGAACCTGAGTCGGATCCTTATCATAACCCATTCAGGGCCCTTTATAACTCTACTTGTAACTGCGGGGGGCACCCCTCGTTGTAAGGAAATTGGCATGTTTCGTGGGGTTCATCATGGGGTCATATGACCTAAAATGGCCCCCCCTCCCTTACAATCCCCTAGAATCAGTAAATATATACGGTTAGTTTTGAGGATGACAATACGTAGTGTAAGACCCGTGGTAGGTTGAATTGTGGACATGTGTCTCACTTGTCGGGTCAGGGTCTGCGGCTGCAGGGTTCAGGGTGAGGTTTTGTCGGGTTTCCACAGGGCGGTGCCCCCTGTCTGTAAGTAGATTTATACCATTTCCTGCTAGCGCGCCCGAAGCTCACAAGTACCCTACTCGTACTTGCAACTACTTCCAAGTAGGGTTTAGAGTTCCCCTAAACCCTAAACCCTAAACCCTAAACCCTAAACCCTAAACCCTAAACCTCTGCTTGCTTTGCGAGCTTTTGGCAGGTGGCAGCTGCCTGTGGAAGCGCCACCCTCAACTTCCCACCGGCTTAGGGTTTAGGGTTTAGGGTTTAGGGTTGTGGGTTTTTTTGAAGGTTTGGCCTGCAGGGGAAAGAATGGGGGAAAATAAGCGAGCCTCATGTAGAGCCCCAAAGCAAGATTCCCTTATATTCAGGACCACAGTAAGGTACCCCTAATTTCGGAAACACCCAAGTCAGAAGAGGATGCCTCTTGGTCTTGGCTGCATGCTTGCGAATGGTCATGTGAGGAACGGATGCATGGCGCGCATGAGGAGGCGGGTGGCATTTGACTGGCCTGGCTTCGGCTGCGGTGCGTTCAGCTCAGAGAGAGAGAGATATAAGTTATATATATATATACACATATATGTATGTATGTATGTATGCATGTATGTAGGACCTTCTTGTACTATTTGACGGCAGCCTTCTCCTATATAAACTGTTTAATTAAAGTGTTTAAGATGTTTTGAAGGGCCGCGTCTTAAACATGTCAACTATTGTAAATATTTAACATGTTTAAAATGTCTTAACTTAGCACAGCTTAACTCCCAACGATGGCAAGTTGGCTGGGGTGGGCTTAGGGTTTGGGGTTTAAGTTTAGGGTTTAGGGTTGAGGGTTGAGGGTTTAGGGTTTGGGGTTTATGCGCCCCACCCGATCGAGAGTTTCCCCAGCTCGGTCAGGCACGAGCGGTGCATCTACGGTGGACGCATGCAGCCCACATCCCAGCTGCATTTAGGGTTTAGGGTTTAGGGTTTAGGGTTTAGGGTTGCTGACACATGCGAATGCGCTGCTGACCTGAACCCTTCGTCCCTTCACGTCCTTGCTGAGGCCTCTTCTGTCCTTCTGCAGAATGAAGTAAGGGGACATTGAGAGGACCTTTTGTATACAGGGCATTTTTGCGTCAGGATGCTTTTTTGAGGTACCGTATAAGAGAGACCTCATTAGAGAACCGACCTTGTGGGCGCACGTGCCCATACAAGTAGTGGTACCTTATTGGGGTCCTTATTTTAAGGGAATCCTTCTGCGTGAAGGGTCTATGTTAGGGTCCCCTATTGTCGTAAACCCTCCTAAACCCTAAACCCCAAACCCTAAACCCTAAACCCGAAACCCCAAACCCTAAACCCTAAACCCCAAACCCTAAACCCTAAACCCCAAACCCTAAACCCCAAACCCTAAACCCTAAACCCTTTTCTGGCCTCCGAGGCCTTCCGTCATCTCCCTGGTGGATCGTGTCTTAATCGGCCCCTTGGCTCAGTGTTTTCAGTGCACAGGGGCCACACAGAGCCAAGTCTCAAGCAACTAACAAGGGTTTAGGGTTTAGGGTTTAGGGTTTAGGGTTTAGGGTTTAGGGTTTAGGGTTTAGGGTTTAGGGTTTAGGGTTTAGGGCTACTGCCCCACAGCCTTTTTCTCCCACTTTAGAAATTGGAGACGGGGGCGGGTGGGGGGGTGTTCTAAAGGGATGGAGGTCGGTTGTCATGAGCGCGAAGTTGCTTTACCTACTCGCTGGATGGTAAACCCTAACCCCTAAACCCTAAACCCTAAACCCTAAACCCTAAACCCCAAACCTAGACCCTTAGAAAATGGAGTCCGGAGTCCGGAGAGACCCCTCAGACCCGGAACGCCCGTCCTTTGCGGCTAAGGGCGAGGAGAAGCATGTGACGCCAGAAGCTCGGATTGCGAGCTCTTAGCCGGCATGGGTTTAGGGTTTAGGGTTTAGAGTTTAGGGTTTAGGGTTTAAGGATTAGGGCTTTGTCGCAGGGTAAGGAGGTGATGAATCCCAAGGTTGGGTCTTCCTAAACCATCCTAAACCCTGAGCTTTACGCCGTTGCGGGTTTCGGTCCATCGCCGGACTACATCTTGCGGACCACATGAACCCTACTTATAAGGGTCATCTATCTCATTCACTAGCATGATATACATATGAACTAAACCCTAAACCCTAAACCCTAAACCCTAAACCCTAAACCCTAAACCCTAAACCCTAAACCCTAAACCCATTTGGTTTTTAGGGTGGGGGCACCCGGAAGTCTACCTTGTGTCACGCTGCAAAGGGAAGAGGCCTCTCATCCTTTGGGATGGATGTGCTTCCAGCTGAGGAAGCATCAAGAACCAGGCATCCAATATGACCATATCGCATGGCCATCAGGGTCAGTATACACAACTGTCCCTAAACCCTAAACCCTAAACCCTAAACCCTAAACCCTAAACCCTAAACCCTAAACCCCACATCCTATAACCCTCAACCAAGCCCCTGCCTTCAAATGTTGAGGTCATCCTGGACTCGTCGCTGACTCCGCAGATGATCTCGCCAGGGCCCCGGTATCCAAGCACTCGTACCTTCACAGACACAGAGAGAGAGAGAGAGAGAGAGACAGAGAGAGAGAGAGAGAGAGAGAGACAGAGAGAGAGAGAGAGAGGGGGGGGGGGGAGAGAGTTAGTTGGTCATGTCCTCAGGGAGAGGTGCCGGTGAAACTACCCAGAACTACTCCAACCCTAGCTACTGTAGTTCTTGTTTTTGTGCGTGGAGGGGAGGGCAGGGGGGGAAGTAGGGGTAAACCCTAAACCCTAAACCCTAACCCTAAACCCTAAACCGTGCGAAGTTTGTTTCCTGAGGCGATCCCACGCAGTGGTGACGGTCGAGGACCACAGCTGCATGATCGAAGCCGCCAGACTGCAAGAGTTCCTCTGATGTATAGGTTTAGGGTTTAGGGTTTAGGGTTTAGGGTTTAGGGTTTAGGGCTTAGGGCTTAGGGCTTAGGGTTTAGGGTTTAGGGGTGCGAAAGCCCGTTGCAAGCGGGCTCGGGTTTTGGGATACCTTCGGGTTTCGACTCGAACCCCTTCGTCTTGCCATACCATCGCAAAGGAGGGAGACCTTGGTTTAGGGTTTAGGGTTTAGGGCTTAGGGCTAAGGGTTTAGGGTTTAGGGTTTAGGGTTTAGGGTTTAGGGTTTAGGGTTTAGGGTTTAGGGTTTAGGGTTTAGGGTTTAGTTGAAAGTTCAGGGGCGGGTGGTTAAGATCAGGGGGAGAGGAAGTGGTTGACATTTCGCCCGCTCGTGAGCTAAAGCCCCGACCTGCGAATGGTCAATCCCGGAGAATGAAGAATTTCGACAGCATGTGCTGGTATGGCAGGGCACCAGTCACCAAAACCTACACCCTACGCCTTGAAACCAAACTTTCCGACCCCAGCTCATGTTCCACTCCCAAAAAGGTACGTACTGTGTTCAAGTTGCTGATAAGGGAAATCGAATCTACGTCAGCCCCTGCCGGCAGCAACAAACCGCGCAACCCTAAACAAAATCTACCTAAGGCCCGCAAGCCCTGTAAACCGTCACATCCCAACACTCAAACTAGTCTAAACTCACAGGCATTGACGATCATGTTTAGGATTTCTTTCGGGATTCTGCTAGCCTGAAGAAGCCCAGGACCAAGGCTCACTCAACGGCGTACACATCAACGGCACCCGCATCTGTTCGAAGCAGGCGAGCTTACAGGGGGGCCGAAGAAGGTGGCGAAACAGGTAGAGCCCTGAGAATAGGGGACGAAGGTTCTATGGTTTAGCAGAGTTTGGGGAGAGTGTGGAGGGTTTTGGAGTTCAGGGGCTACGGGTTTAGGGTTTAGGGTTTAGGGTTTAGGGTTTAGGGTTTAGGGTAGGGTTCGAAGGGGTGTAGTTACTCATCGACTTGGAGAACAGTCATGTGTTGTAGAAGCTTGGATCACTTGCCCAATGTTCTCTGACACAAACCCTACAACCCTAAAGCCGAATCTCGTAGTGGTGCAACGGTTAGTTTTTTGTGGAGGCCTCGTCGGCCGCCTTGGTTTGTGTCTTTTGCATTGGTTTAGTAGATGTGTCAGATTTTCAATCAACGAATCTGTCGTAACACAGTGGGAGAAATAAATGGCAAAGGAGTTCTTTTTGAGCCTGGTGGCGTTAATGGGCACGAGGGTTCAGCTTTCGGGTCTCGGGTTTGGGGCAAAACGCTCTACAACACCCTAAAAACACCGAATTCGGAACGTTCTGCCCTGAACCCTAAACCCTAAACCCTAAACCCTAAACCCTAAACCCTGGGTGCGCGGCTGGGTGGAGCACGAATCTGAGTGGCCTTGTCCTGGGGCTGGCACGCTCTTGGGTCGGCTGAAAGATCTCGTAGCAACGGAGCTCAAAGTTGTGCATGTCCGCCTTTTCTTGCACTTTCATGTCGAGATTGAGTTGGAGTGGCCCACTGCCTTTCGACCGCTTTGGAGCGGGGAGATGCATGTAGTGGTCGAGTGGAGCCGGCTTCCTTCCAGCTGGATGTATTTGATGCCGGAGGCCTTTGCGCGAGCGCGCGTGTGATGTGATTAGTCATTCCCCGAGGTTTCTTAGCTTGAGTGAGGCTTCACTGAGGCTAGCCTGAAATGTTGGCATGGCCCTCAGAGTTGCTCACCTTTTGCATCGGCAGGCCTGGGAGGGTTTTGCGGTTTCGGCCTCGGGGGTTCGGGTTCGTGGTCTTGTTTGGGTTGGGGTTGGTGTTTTGGGGCTTTGCGGTTTGCGGTTTGGGTTGTGGGGTTCTGGGCTTTTTTGGGGTGCTGGGGTTTTGGTGTCCTGGGCTTGCGGTGCAGACTTGTGTTTCACGTTGGCGCCCGATATTCGCTCTTTGGAGATGGTGCTGCAGAAACCCTAAACCCTAAGGCGAACTCGAAAAGCCGAGTTTTTTCTGACAGGCTCTGAAGCATGGCGACATCGTCACCTTCGGCGTGCCCTCGCCGCAGCCAGAGTCGGACTCCCAGGTGCCTAAAAAAGAATTTTGGGCGCGGCGGTTTAGGGTTTAGGGTTTAGGGTTTAGGGTTTAGGGTTTAGGGTTTAGGGTTTAGGGTTTAGGGTTTAGGGTTTAGGGCTGAGGGCAAGAAGCCACAAAAGTTTAGGGTTCAGGGTTCAGGTGTACGCACGGCCTCCCAGGGGGGTGTACGGGATCCGGAAGCCAAAATGGCTTCGAAAACTGGCCCAAAATCCCCATTTGAGCTCGATTGGGCCCCACTTGGTGTTCCTGTGGTGCCCTTTTGCCCTTGTTTTGGGGTTTAAGGTTCCCTTGTATTAGAGTAGCCAACCCCAAAAGGGTACCCCTACCATAATATGGCTGCTGGGCTACCAAGTCTCTAGGTCATTAGGCTTGGGATATTTTTGGATTGTCTTTTGTTAGGATGTAAGAGGATCAGAACGAGGAATGTCCTAAGGGTCTGTGTACCTAAATACTGTAGGGAACACTGGAGCCTCAAAGTATCTCCTATGTAGGTACTTTGGGGCAACTTAAACCCGAAACCCTAAACCCTAGCCCTACACCCTAAACCCTAAACCCTAGCCCTAAACCCTAAACCCTAAACCCTAAACCCTAAACCAGTATATTATAATGAGGCTTTGAGGGGACCATCCCAGCTTGAGGTTCGACTACATCTTCGAGATGCGCAGCTGAAGGGGCGAGTCTGCGGCACTTGGTGGACCAGCACTCATAGATACCAGGGGTTTAGGGTTTAAGGTGTAGGGTTAGGGTTTATAGGGTTTATAGGGTTTAGGGTTGAGGGTTTAGGGTTGAGGGTTTAGGGTTTAGGGTTTAGGGCCCGAAGTTGTCCATCGCAACGGGTGGTGGATCCCAGAAGCTGAAGCAAGCGCCAGTCGCCCATGTAATGACACGTCATCTTCCTTGGGGACCAAATGAACCCTAAAACTGGGTTCTGGGTTTAAGGTTTAGGGTTTAGGGTTTAGGGGCCCTACACCCTCTAGTACTATAATCCCTGTTAAGGTATATGAACCATAAACCCTTTTAAGGTTCATTTGGTCCTTAAGGTTCTTGACGTGTCCAAGCTTGAGGGTTTCGGGTGTAGGTGTTTAAATACACTTAGGGTCCATATGCTATACGTTGGCCCGCAAGCAACTCTACAGGAGCCCCTATAAGGCCAGAGAATCTACAGTATACCTTGGGGACCAAACGAACCCTAAGATTGGGGCCATATACCCTCTACTACTATAATCCCTATTGAGGTATTTGAACCATAAACCCTTTTAAGATTCGTTTGGTTTTGAAGGATAGGTACATGCACACTTTTGGCATCGCGGGCTTGGTGATCTTTAGGGGCGCGCGCTTTTTCGAGGCAGACGCCATGACCTAGACGTCATCTACTCCTGGGGCTCCATTACGTTTCGGGGGTTCTGCCCGGTATCCAATTTGCTTGGTTTGATGACAAGTATCCAAGCCAGTTGACCATGGGTGGGTCCAGGCACAGTGTTTGATTGGTAAGACGAGCTGGGATCACTGTTCCTCTGCCCTAAACCCTAAACCACGACCCTGTAGTTGTCAAGACTTCCCGAGCGCCGTCCATCCTGGCAGCAGATCGCTTTGGGGTGGAAATCTTGGGGCATCTCAAGGCAGTCAGCTGAAAGCAGATCCCGAAACCCTGAGCCCGACGGTTTAGGGTTTAGGATTTCGGGTGTAGGGTTGAGGGTTCAGGGTTTACGGCCCTAAAGCCTCCCGCAGAAGCCAACGGTTTGACTGCCTTGAGTGGGTGCGATTCCATGGGGCGATGGAGACATATTTTGTGTGTCCGCGCGCGTTGCGCGGACGGACGCCCTCCCTCGTTGTCAAGCCTGTAGACTTTTCTTTGATTAATTAGAGATTATGCATAATGTTTAATCATAGTATGGAATCTGTAAACCTATAGAATCCGAGAAGATGTCCTTGTGCAAATGTTAGATGTATGGTGATCTATGTGGTATGTCATACCTCGGGAAGATCCTGAGGGAGTGAGGGCAGTGAGGGCTTTGGGGGTCCGAGCGCTCGTGACACCGCGCCCATTGCAAGTTCCATCTGCGGCCAAAACACACAGAGGGGGCGATGTTGTTGAGGGTTCTGATATAGAGCTTAGGGTGTCTATCAGCGCTGGCCGCGTGTGTCAGGGGAACAAGAGGATTGCGCTGCCTCCGCACCCCGGAAGGGGTGGCAAATCTGTGCAAATGAGCTGATCAGTTCAGCAGGTACAGCTGCTTAGGACGACAGCATCCCCCGTCGCCATGGTCCATGAAGGGGTTTGCCAGTGTTGAGCATCGGCAAAGAAGCGTTAAAACGATGGGCAGATTGCAGTGCCTTGGTTGGTTGGGTTCTGCTCGGGTGTGTTTGCTAAAGAGGACAAGAGAGAAGTCGGGAGGCAAGTAAGGACGATTCCTCAAACGCCAGCGTCGGAACTGCAAGCTTCATTCCTCCAAGATGCTGACACCAGTATCATTAGACTGAATTACATTACATTGGTACAATTTCCTTTTTATGTTCAGAATATTTTTATAGTGTGGTTTTTATTTTGATTCAGTATTACAACGTTTTTATTGAATGCTGTACTTGCGCAGACATACTCCCGTTCAAGATCTACAGCCCCCGAACACGGCTAGTCTCCAATGAGCGGTTGTGCTGCGTTACTGGCTGATTACTTTCATTCAAAACAAAATATGGGTGTTCCTCTCCGCTATGTAGTCGAAGAAGAAGAAGAAGAAACATAAGAAGGAGAGAGAGAGAGAGGGAGGGAGAGAGAGAGTACACATGTATATGTACATGTGAACAAATGTCTACCTTGTACCTGTACGTATTCTTGGTAGCCCGGTGGAAGGCTTTTTCTTTTTGGAGTTCAAATTTCCCTTACAATGCCTCACAAAGTCACCAACGCAGAAAAGGGTACCCTTGTTGTAATATGGTTGCTGGGCTACCAAGGTTATAGAACCCCAATCATGACTGTACTTACAAGTCTGCAAAGTCCCCTAAGTAAGCGATGCGTAGGCTTACTTACAAGTGGGGTTATAAGAAGAGTGCCCTTATGAAAATATGGTTTCTGCACTATCCTAAACCCTTAACCTTAGCATCGCGCGCAACCCTCAGATCATGCAGCAGAAACCCTAAACCCTAAACCCTAAACCCTTGCTCTAATATGGCTACTGGCTCAGGTCTGGTCCCTGGCCAAGGTCGCCGCCACGGCATCGGAGGTGTCGGATGTGGCATCATCCTCAGAGCCTTCTTCGGGCTTGGCCTGGGTTTAGGGTTTAGGGTTTAGGGTTTAGGGTTTAGGGGGTTTAGGAGGTTTAGGAGGTTTAGGGTGTTTAGGGTTTAGGGGATTTACGCAGGGTCTAGCGTTTCGGGTTGAGGGTTTTGCAAAAGGGTTTTGCAGGGGCTGACTTGAAAAACTTGTGGTTGCATAGGGGACTAACAGGAGGTGCCTAAAGCTTACTACACGAAAGGGGGCCGGCCCCCTTACTATCCTAACTATAGAAAGGACCCTTATATCCCAATTTAGGGCCCCTATAACTCTACTTATAACTGCGGGGGGTGGGGGGGGTCTCCTTGTAGTTCGTGCAGCAATGGACCCTGCAAGGATGTGAACGCAGTTATTGAAGCAAAGCAACCTGAGTCACCCTAAACCCTAAACCCTACACCCTAAACCCTAAACCCTAATTAGTCTTATTATCGGTTTTTTCTGAACCCATTCGAGTGTTAGCTCAACAGTCCACAGCTCTAGAAATCCTAATGAACCCGTCTCCATCACTCCGAGAAGATGCCCATGGTTTGTCTGCACCATCTCGCTAGGAGCCTACTCAATTCTTATTAGGGTTTAGGGTTTAGGGTTTAGGGTTATGTTCTCCTTTGCAGGTCTCGGCAGCCATCGCACGCACAGCCGAACTCGCACCGCAGCACATCGCCAATGTTGCATGGGTGCGCATGTGGTCGGTTCTGGAATTGAAGATGCCTTTCTGGGGCCTCTGTTATCATGCTTCTTGTACAGAGTACGAAAGCCCATCGAAAGCCCCAAACCCTAACCCTAAACCCTAAACCCTAAACCCTAAACCCTAAACCCTAAACCCTAAACCCTAAACCCTAAACCCTTTCGGTCCTTGGGCTGGGGGCTCCCGGGGCAGCACGGCTCCTGCTTTGACTTGCCAGCCAAACGCTGTCTATGTGCATAAATACACGCACCTGTATTTCTCTAACACTCGCGAACAATAAGCCAAACAAATCAATATGTGCCTCTCGATCTCTTTCTCTATAATTATATATATATATATATATATATATATATATATAGAATTATCATTAACATTTTTCATATATACATATATATATTTATATATATGTATATTATGGACATATATATATATATATATGGTCACAACCCCCAAAAATATTAAAGTCTGGGTATAGACCATGATTAAAACCCCGTTGTGGCGCGTGGTTGGGAGGCCATGGCCAAGATGTCTGCGAGCAGCGACAGGAGATGCCAGGCCTTCGCAAGGCAGGTGCGCTGGAGCCTACACCCTAAACCCTAAAGCCCTAAAACCCTATATGAACACCCTAAACCCTTAAACCCTAAGCCCCTAAACCCTAGATTGGGGTCTAGGGTTGAGGGTTTAGGGTTCAGGCCGTGGTGAAATTTGGGGTCGGGCACCGCTGTATGTCGCAGATGCAAGAGATGCACAGCCAGCATGGCCCTGAGAGCCAGCCAGCCTGGATTAGGGTTTAGGGTTTAGGGTTTAGGGTTTAGGGTTTAGGGTTTAGGGTGGGCATAAACCCTAAACCCTAAACCCTAAGGGCGTTGCCTATTTGCGAGGAGCCACATTTGGGTTTGTGAGGCCTGCCTGGGACGCCCAGTTTCAGTTCAAGCCGCAGGAGGCGTCCGCGGCCAAGCAACAGCTGAAGCTGGAGGGGTGAGAACCGTTAAAGCCAACACCCTCCGTAGGGACCAAGTGAACCCTAAAAGGGTCTGTGTGTTCAGCCACCTGAAGAAGAGGGATTCTAGTAGTATAGGGTATAGGTATCTTAGGGTTCATTACGTCCCTTGAAGTTGAGAACCTTTAGTATTTCCTTCAAGTAAGTAAGCCATTGTTCAACACGATCTTTGCAGACTGCTTTGAGTTGTGAGTTCATCCCGACCTCCAGCCATGCGGAACCCAGGTGCAACTTGCTATGGGTCTGGCACTCAAGTGTGGGAGCGGAACTGTGCCATAGACATAGTAGACTCACTAATTTAATTTGTCTTATCTCATACAAGAGGCCCCCTAGTTTCAAGTAGAGTTGTAGGGGCCCGAAATTGGGATACAAGGATCCTATTTTGGGTTGTAAGTCTCTTAACTATCCACTTCCTTCCACGAGTCAAGGCGTTTGCTGCTACCACCGTCCATGCGCGACTAGCTGGCACGTTTTCCCTGCCTGATAAGTGATGGAGCTCTTGACAAAATGTGGCAACATACTTTTCGAAGCGAAAATCTCGTCGGTGAGCGTGTGCGAGATTCGCTCCACACCTTGCGTGTGGAGGTGCAGAAGTTCTTGAACGGTATGCCTGCCTCATGCACTTTTACCACCCCATGTCTAAAAAAATGATCAGCTCCAAACCCTAAACCCTAAACCCTAAACCCTAAACCCTAAACCCTCCGTGAACGTGGCCA